GGAGAGAGAGAAAGCCTTCCCCTGGAGCTGACACCTTTGGACTTTTAGCCTACTTTGATTATGAGGAAAGAAACTTCTCTTCATTAAAACCATCCACTTGTGGTACTTCTGTTGTAGCAGCACTAGATGACTAAGACAATGCCTTAGAAAATATCGAGTGCTTTTGTTAACATCTAATCTTGTTCCTGTTTACTGGGGCTTAGTAATCAGTTTGTGCTGTGGAATTTTTTTTTTTGTTGGTCAGATTTAGGTATATTGTAACAGGATTGATTGCTCTAGAAAGGTTTTCTTTCACAGTCCACTTAGACACTTTCCTAACTTCAAGAAAGTAAGTAATAAAATGACTTTTCTAAACTGAATCATGCCTGTAAACCTGCAGTAGAGTCTAGATTCATTGCAAGTAACATTTTGAAAGTATTAGTAGCACACACAACTAATACAAAATTAAGAAAAAAAATTTGATTGTCCATGTTGTGCTGAGTTAGGTTCCTATTTAGTGGTTCCAGAAATGATTTGTCTGGTGTTGTAGACTTAACACCAACTACTCATCTGATTATTTTTACTCGTTATTTGTCCTTTCAGTTGTACCGGTTGGAACGCTATGATGAATGCTTAGCTGTGTACAGAGATCTTGTCCGAAACTCCCAAGATGATTATGATGAGGAAAGAAAAACAAACCTTTCAGCAGTTGTTGCAGCTCAGAGCAATTGGGAAAAAGTGGTTCCAGTGAGTATCCTTGTGTACCCACACAGTCATGAAGCAATATTCCTGTCTAGTGTTTGACTAGTATTTTGCTTCCTGACAGGAGAACTTGGGCCTCCAAGAAGGCACGCACGAATTGTGTTACAATGCTGCATGTGCACTGATAGGACAAGGCCAGCTGAACCAGGCAATGAAATTCCTACAAAAAGCTGAAGGTTGGAAGTTTATTAAAATTATATGTAATGTAATGTGCGTAAAACGTTGTGTAGTATCTCCAGAAGTTGCATTTGACTTTTTTGGAGTAATTAAATGGAGGTTATTAATGCAGTGGGAATTTCTCAAGTGTCATCTACCTTTCTCTTGGGCTGTTGACCATATCTCTCCTGTATTTCTGTCTGATCCCTAAACCAACCCACTTCTTCATTTTCAAGCACACCAGACCTTAAAGTTTGAATTTTGAGGAGTAGGTTTTTGAAAAAGTTAATATGAATGTTAGATGTTTAAATTAGATGAGGTATTTCATTTCAAGCACTTAATAGCAGTATATGTTATAAGCAGTCAGTAATTATTGAACAGTTACTCATATAGTCATAATATGGTATGTCAGTGCACATGTGTACACACAAACATGCATATACTGCATTTGTACATTGATAACATTCAGACACATTTTAACTTCACTTAATATATTCCCATATTTACGTGCTTTGAAGTCTTTAATTAGGAAAAAAAGAAAGTAATTTATTAGCGAACTTAGGTCTAGCCTCAACTCCTGAAACATTTAGACTTTTCTACATACATTTTGCTTGTTGTAGGGACTGCAGTGAAGCATGAGGCTTTTAAAAAGGTGAAACAGTGTATGTTTTGCTGTTAAATGTTGAGGGTTAGAGCATCATAAAAAGCAAATAATTGTTTAAGAACTATAATTTCTTGATCACATCCAGTATTGACAGTGGTATGGGGAAAGGACATTCTTATGCGTTACTCTTTGAGCGTAAAGTCATACAGACTTTGCAGTGGACTTTGCGTCTTGGCTGTGTGTAGCAAATTTTAAAATTTGCATATCCTTTCATCTGGGAATTCCATTTCTGGAAACTTATTTTGAGGAAATAATTAGATTAATTCACGTATGTATCTATGTGAATCTTTATGTAAGGAGTGTTTATAAAAACCAAAATTTAGAAACTACACGAACTCTGGTGGCATAGTGGTTAAGAGCTATGGCTGCT